ATTGGAACTTGGTAATCTTAGTTTTATGTTAATCTACTGTTGCTGTTGAAAGTTTCTTCAGCCAAACTGAGCATCTTTTTATTGCAGATCTGTTTCCAGAGACCTGAATGAATCGAATCTGTCCTCTTTGAAACTGAATCTGACCTTTTTGTCAGCGGTCGTCCTCTGAGGTGCAGATGGTAGAAAGGTTCAGATTCCACCTTTTTGTGTATGCTCTGCTGTTTTCGTGGTTTACCTCTTCTCACATCTCCTTTCCAAATTCTCTTGTCACACAGTTAAGAGATCTGAGTGAGTCTATGTATGTAGGTACATTGTCAAAGAGGAAGAGATCGAAACGGTTTAGCCCAAAATATTTTTGTTGCACAAAGAAAATGTACAAGGTCCCTTTTCTAGAAGGCCTGCAAGAGAAGACATTGGGTAGTCTGCAGTCAATCGACCCACTGCAGTGGAAAAACACTAGGGAATTGAAGAGAAGAGGGGTGTGACAGGAAGTTGTGAAGAAGGCCTGCAAACTGAAAGAAAGGCATCTGAAGGTTGGAGGCCGGGGGATGGGCGTAGTGCTGACGTGAAGTCAGGATAGATGACGTGGACATTTTACTAATCGCTCCTCAGAAGAATGACCATGCAGCTTTGTCTAAACTTTTAGTCTTTTGACTAGAAAACTTGGTTATTTAAACCGTTAAGTCTGGAATGGTTCACGTCAGACAAGACTAAACAGTAAATCATGTTTCCTGATGCATGCTCAATAACCCAGGTAGACAAATCTTAAGAAGAAAAAAAGTACTTTAACTTAAAAAAGTTAAGTCAGGTTCTCTAAACGGGTTCAAGAAACAAAAAAAGTAGAAACGTTTTCTTTCATCCGAAAGCTTCTTCAGTAAATCATGTTAAACAAGTCTAGGATCTGCAATAGGTGACCCATATCACATTTGAAACGCTTCCGGGAGACGATATTGCCTAACATTTTAGAAATTGAAGTAAAAAGAAACTTCAGTTTCAGAGAATTGTTAGCAGATGTATGATTTAAAAAAAATTCTTGCATTAATTTTTAGTATTATCACCCGATGCAACTGAGTTATCATTACCACAGTGACCCTTTCTAGTGTATCCGCAGTGGTTATTGTGAGAGGAAAATGGGTTGAAGCTCAGGGGGAGGGGAGGTTGTCCTAAAACTAAAGGGTAAAAGTGGAGGCTGATGCTGAGCAGGGTCGTTGAGTTTTAATGATCAGGTTGGAGGCTGGTGGGTATGGTAGGTGCAGTCTCTTTATGCTGCCTCTTGACTGATTTTTAACCAAAAAAGGGCATGAAGCAGATCTCAGCTGCATTGACGTGAAGCTAAACATAGTTTTCAAAACATGGTGAATTAACTGTGTTAAGTAATTCTCTTTTGTATTTACTTGAAAAAAAAAACAAGTTAACCACAAAGTTGCTGTGCATCATCATCCATGTTCCCTTTGTAATAAACCGGTCTTTGTCCTGGTGGCCGCACAGACCAGATGTCATCATTTTATCACATAACTGAGCCTCAAAGGCGGCTTACCTTTACACGTAGACCAGTTTCGGCACTAATGCTACCCAACTTCATGGCACACAGGAGCATACTGCATGAACGTTTAACAATTTTTACAATAAACACTGGAAAATCTATACTTTTTCCAGGAGATCACTGGTGCATAAACTGGGTTGAAGGTTTTTTTAAGTGCCTTCGTATTCTGATGTGGTGGGGGTGGGTGTCATGGGTAACTGTGAGAACTAATGGTTGAGTGTTGGTGTGGGGGAAGGGATGGAAAAAGCTTTAAATTTTTCCCATCCTTCAACATCATTCTTTTTCCAAGTTTTATTAGATCCATCTTGGGTCATTCTGATTATCCTTCTGTACTTGTGGAACCTCTGACAGGTTTGTTAAAGCAGTAAAACGTAGAACTGAGCTGGAAAATGTGTACCTCGTCGTCCGTTTTAGTGAGTGGCAGCAGGATGCAACAGTCTGCTGACTCTTCTGCACAATCCTGTCTCTGAGCCGAGGTCTTTCATTGCACTGCCACAATGCGTGTCACAGCAGGGTAGACATAAAATGGCTGCTCTACCATGGACTACCACAACAAGGTTTGTTTTCCATTGAAGAGCTAGGAGGAGCAGAGACATCCATCCATTCATTATCTTTACACGCTTCTTCCTTTTTTAGGTCACAGGTGCCCATGTCCAGCCATCACTGTACGAGAGGCGGGGTACACCCAGAACAGGTCTCCAGTCCATCACAGGGACACATATGGAGACAAATCAACCATTCACTCTCTCACTAGGGACACTTTTGTTACTTTAGTTATTGTTTTTGTCTTGAACTTTTTTGAATTTTCCAATTTATTAAACTTTATTTAACCAGACTAATCCCACTAAGATCACAGATCACTCTTGCAAGGGAGGCCTAGGTCTGAAGGCAGCCTAACATGCATGTTTCTGGTCTGTGCACACAGTTTTTGGGTTATGGTTGTTAAGCTGTTGTGGTTATATTTAATCCTTTTCCTAAAAATGGCTCAAGAGTTTTTTGTTAAAATCCGTTTGCTGGATATGAGATTTTTTTATAAGTCACAACAGAAGTTGTCTCAGGACACTGAACAGAAACATTCACAGTTAAATACTGATGACAGACTACTGCAGTAGTCCAACCTAGACACGATATATGCATAGATCAGTTTTTCTGCATCATTGTTGGACAATAGGTTTCTAATCTTAGGGAAATTATGCAAGTGTAGGGGAAACATTTTTTTTAAATGTGGGGGTTAAAAGACTTGTCCTGATCATAAATGGCACCAAGGTTTTTAACATTAGAACTGAAGGCCAGATTAATGTGATCCAGAGAAAGTGAAAGACGGCAACATTTATTCCAAAGATGCTCCGGTCCAAAAACCACAACCTCCGTCTTGTCTTGAATCTGAGCCTTAATCTGCTGCTCAGCACCTCCTGACTGAACTAGCCATGTGTGAAAATCTGAATTGTTTTGAGTAACAATATATCAAATGTCTTCCTCCTCTGCTGCAGGGCCACGAAAAAAAATCTGAAGAGGAATGTTTTGGTGCAAATGACTTTGTGTTTGAGTTATACAAGTATTATCTGCCCAGTATGTTTGCCCAACATTAAATTATGAATTTTTCCACATCTGGAGGCACAATGAAGCTTCTCTTCTACACGATTTGTCTCATTGGCCTGCACGTTTAAGTGGAAACTTCCACCTGGTTTAGAAACGCAGAATGGACCATTCTGTAGTGTCATTTGGTGAGGCAGCCATTTTGTTGTAGGGAACCCAGGCCTGCTGCTCTGAAGAGAAACTGATGTGTTTGAGAAACTGTGCCTGCAGGGAAGAAGAGACTGAGCAGAGGAGCTTGTACTCCCATACATGGGAACAGTAAAATTTTCTGAACACGCACGAACCAGAAATGTGAGAAACTGCAGAGTCATACTACACACACTGTCCTTTACTGACCTTGTGTTTATAGATGCTGCTGCTGCCTGCATGACGTGGCTGCTCTACCTGTAATGAATTCAGAACACAAAGGCAGCACAGAAAATGTTTTGGGCTGAGCCAGTTGAGCTCAGTGAGTTTAGTTTACAACAGACGGTTCACTAAATGTATTTATGTAAACTTGGTTTCAGTTAGCTTTAAGGTTTATTCATGCACGTCGTTGAGTGGAGTTGTGGACGCAGTTGACGTTTTCTAATCTTGTTAACCCCTGCAGTTTATTTTAAGTGCTCCCACAATGCATTTCACCTGAGTAACGACCTGTCCCAGATGCTCCTTTGAGAGATTCACAAACTCGACAGATTAGGAGATTACACTAGTTTATATTGACAGGGAGCCATTTTCAAGGACAGTGGCGGTTTCCTTCAACGTGCATGTTCAGACCACGCCATCTCCTTTACTATAAGCTACACTAGCTTAACTATCACAGAGCCTTGCATGCGTCACTGTAAATTTAGGAAGCTAAACATCCTGCCAGACGGGGATTAACCATTTACTAGTTCAGCTAACAAAGAACTAATTGGGTAATAACTTCATTAGTTGTATCAAACACGGATTGATCATCAGTGTCTCGTTTATCTCAAAGCAGAAGGTGTTTGAACTTGTGCAGTATGAAAAGCAGGTCATTCACTCCATAACAGGTGTGTTCCTGTTTCCTCACTTACTTTCTCCCACCCTTATTTCATTGTTTTCTCAACATGTTCCTGCATGGTGCAACACTTCAGCTGCAGTCAGTTCACCACGTCTGACAGCCTGTGTTTTTCCACTGAAGTACAGAATTGCACCTTGTATGTGTTCAGCCCCACCTTGTGGCTGATTGCTACTTCTGCTCACCATTGCATCACAGGCACTTCTACTTCCTCTGCTCAAGTTACTTAAACCATAAGATGTTTAAAATTGTCAGTAAAATTAAATGAATGGATGCTTCTCTATCAACAAATTAATTAAATGAATTTTTGTTCACATCTTTCCATCTAATTCCACAGAATATGAAATTGCTGCTGTGACATTTTAAATCTTTGTGAGGTTGCCCTGAGGGTATTTTAAATGTGAGACAATCTGTGTCCCCTCTGCATGTCTGATTAGAAATATTTTACTCATTAAATGTGATGCTATGATTTTAAAAAGAGACCAGGTCAAAGGACACTTGAAGTTGTGGCTCTACCTGCTCTCTTTAGTTCTGTTGGCTTCATTTTAATGCTTTGTATTTTATCTGAAAATAGAAATGGTATGCCTAACCAGTCCAACTTTAACTGGTCTCGTTAAAGCTAACTCCAGTTCTTAAAGTAGATCCTTTCATGTCAAGCCCTCACCTATAACTTGTGTATTAAGGGACCCTGTGTACATAATTTCGCTCCACCACATGAGGTGCGAATGACAATAAAGAAACTGATTATCACACCTGACGTGTTCAAGCTGTTTCCATTGCAGGTTAGTTTACATCATTAGTTTGTTGAATCATATGTTGCTTCTGCTGTTTTTTTTACAGGTATCTCCACACTCTCTAAGCTACAACAACCATGTCGGACCTCTGTGTTGGAATCAATGGGTGAGTCAGACCCTCAGTGTTGAGACTGGGGGGGGGGGGGGGGGGTTACTTTTCAATCACATGGTGGCTGCTAGAGATGGACACTAGAAAGGGGATTCATCATTGGATGGATGAATCATATCCGCTGTTTTTTTTTTTTTTTTAAGTGAAATGGGTTTCTGTCAGAACGCAAATGGACACCACCCAAAAAAAAAAGTTTTTTTTATGGTTGCTTTAGCAGCTTCTTCTTGTAGATTACCATGTAATTCCTAATTATTCTGCAATAATTCCAAGTTGGCCAGAGCATTACCTGTATCAAACTATGTTCTGCATCAAGTTCACAATCACACCAACAGGCAGCTGGACCCGCTGTCTTTTTTTTTTGTTGTAATATCTGTCTTCATGTGTCTGCAGCTTTGGGCGCATTGGTCGCCTGGTTCTGAGGGCTTGCCTCCAGAAAGGCATCAAAGTCGTAGCCATCAACGACCCCTTCATTGACTTGAAGTACATGGTGAGAACTTTCAGTGTATTTTTACATGTAGTAGGCAGTATATTTGTAACCACACAGTACCATGGCGTCTGAAAACAGCTAAAACTAGCCCAGACAGTTTTCTGATAACTAAACGTCATCCGAACGGTTCAAATTGATCTGTTATTTCTTTCCCACACTGTTCTAGGTCTACATGTTCAAGTATGACTCCACTCACGGCCGTTATGATGGCGAGGTCTCCCACGATGACAGCAAGCTTATCGTCGATGGTCATGGCATCTCAGTTTTCCAGTGGTACGTGATCCAGTCAGTCCAGTCATGTCTTGTACATTTTTAGTTGACTTTTCTACTTTGTTCTATAAATCTTTCATCCCAGCCAGGACTGAATTCCTGGCAGTGGAATGAGCTTTCTGCTTCACGAGGCTTCTCTCTGATAAAGATCCTGTCCACCGTCTGTGGCAGTTGTTGTTTTAGTTCATTGTACGGTGTCTGCTCTGATAATTCGTAAATCAACAAAAAGGATGCTTACTGAAGAGACATTCCTACATTTAGCACAGTCAGAACTGCATATTTGTTCACTTATCCAGGGTCTGCACAATAAATTGGAAACGATATGCAGTATGAGTAGGACCAACACCATCATGAGATTTCCATCGGTTATCTCTTGGTTGTACTAATTTGTGCTGTATTTGGAAACTTTAACTGTTTATTTTTAACTTTTTTGCCTTTAGCATGAAGCCCGCTGAGATCCCCTGGGGCAGTGCTGGAGCCAAATATGTTGTCGAGTCCACCGGAGTCTTCCTGAGTGTGGAGAAAGCCTCTGTACGTAATCTCTCACATACACACACAGAGTTCAGAGGACAGTCTGGTTTCTGACCTGAGTTCTTCTTACTCTGTTGCAAACAGTCTCACATCCAGGGTGGTGCACAGCGTGTGGTTGTGTCTGCCCCATCACCTGACGCTCCAATGTTTGTCATGGGAGTCAACGAGGACAAATACGACCCCTCCTCCATGACCATCGTCAGGTAACTCTTCTTTGTTGGCATAAGCCTGATTTTTTTAAATGTTGCTGTATTAAAAAAAAATAATATTTATGAATTTGTTAGTTCAGTAGCAAATATATATATATATATATTTTTTTTTCCAATTTATAGTAACGCCTCCTGTACCACCAACTGCCTGGCCCCCCTGGCCAAAGTCATCCATGATAACTTTGGTATTGAGGAGGCTCTCATGGTAATTGCTGCTCATACGGTTTGTTGGAGCCTTTAAGGTGCTTGTGTTTGACGCTGCATAACTCTGCTCCCTGTAGACTACAGTCCACGCCTACACAGCCACCCAGAAGACGGTGGACGGGCCCAGCGCCAAGGCCTGGCGTGACGGCCGTGGTGCCCACCAGAACATCATTCCAGCTTCCACCGGTGCCGCCAAGGCAGTGGGCAAAGTCATTCCTGAGCTCAATGGGTACGACGGCAGCTTCATCTTTGGTTCTGTTTCTAAAAACTGAGAAATGTGTCGAAGTAAAAATCAGACAACGCTGATCTGTCCCTTTCCGTCCTCTAGTAAGCTGACCGGAATGGCGTTCAGGGTGCCAGTGGCCGACGTGTCGGTTGTGGACCTGACATGCCGTCTGTCCAAGCCTGCATCTTACGCTCGGATTAAGGAGGCTGTCAAGAAGGCTGCACATGGATCCATGAAGGGAATTCTGGGTTACACTGAGGATCAGGTAAAGTCTTTGTGTCTGGTTTTAATGGAAGGTGGGGGCGTTTAAGGCTGGACTGGTGGGTGCCTTCCTCAGTAAAGTGCTGCCTTAACAGAGTTTCTGACTTTACCTTTTGCAGGTGGTGTCCTCTGACTTCATCGGTGACACTCACTCCTCCATCTTTGATGCTGGTGCTGGCATCTCCCTCAACGACAACTTTGTCAAGCTCATTTCCTGGTGAGTTTTCAGATGTCTCGCGAACAGCTTTAAATTTGTGTTCCCATCAAGACTGATAAAAGAGCATGCATTTTGAAACTGGCTTACTGGTCTTTTTTTTTTTTTTTTTTTTTTGCAGGTATGATAACGAGTATGGCTACAGTAGCCGTGTTGCCGATCTGCTGCTGTACATGCACTCCAAGGAGTAGACACTTCCTGCCCCGAAAGGAAGTTAGGAAAGGGACCACCCCTAAACATCGTAAACCCTCACTTACCTTTTACAAAAGGCCCCACCCATAGCCAAGTCATAGCTTTTGGACCCTTAGCTCTCCTACAGTAAATGTAGGCAGCAGCAGCGTGTTTGATTGTTCTGAGTTCATCTGTCTTTTCCTTTGACGACGAGGCGACAGGTCGGTGAAAGTACTTGTGTTCGTGTGCCCCTCTCCACCTCCCACTGCCAAGTTAGATGTCTCGTTCCAGCTGAGTACTTATCGTAACTACTGTATTAATTTCACTGTTGGTGTTTTTAAAAGCTTTGTCACCAGTGGAAGGAGTAAACTGAGAGGCAGCCCTACTGTAACTGCTTAAAGTTAGAGACGACTAAATAAAACGTGAGAAAATCCAAAACTCTGGTGGTCCAGCTTCTTTGTAAACTGTTGTTTTTTGTTTTTTCTCCCCACATCACAAAATGGGTTAAATCGTCATCTGAACAAGTTTCTTTAAGGGAGAAACGTTTCATCTTTCATCCAAAAGACTTGAGCGGTCTGCATCCTGCCAACCAGATGTTTTCTCTAAATAGCCATCATTGATGTGTTTGTTCTCCTGTTGAGTCATGATTTAACCTTTTTGTTGTGATTTATCTACCTGGATGATTTGAGCTTACAAACCTCTTCCCACATGTCCTGTTGTGACACTCCGGTGCATAGCTGAACTAAAAACTCTTAAAACCATTTTCAGTTGTTCACCACTCATTTACACTCATTTAAACTCTAATACAAACAACGTAAAGATGTAAAGCATTTTAATTTCAGATCAGTCATCAGTTTTTAATTCCTGAAGTCTCCACTTTGAGAAGTGAATCCAACATGTCTGCACTGAGAAATGCTACTGCGTCATGCTGTATTTGTACACGTATACTTGTACGCAAAGATTTCATCTGATACCAGAATGCATGTGTCTTGGGAGAGTCATGCACAGAAATGTTGCCGGGGAAAAAATCCTGAATGACTGATCGGCGATCATTTAAACGTTTGGTGAAATCAAATGGAAGAAAAACAACAGGAGCACTCAGGGCTGTGTTTAACAGTGAAAGTAAGAACATTTCCACACACACAATGTGAAGGGACTCAAGGGATTGGGACTGAACAGCTGCGTAGCCTGAAGAAAACCACTAACCAGTGAGGCTAACTGGGGAAAAGGCTTCAATTTACTTGGGAGCATAAAGATTGGACTCTGGAGCAATGGAAGAAGATCATGTGGTCTGATGAGTCCAGATTTACCCTGTTCCAGAGTGATGGGCGCATCAGGGTAAGAAGAGAGGCAGGTGAAGTGATGCACACATGACTAGTGTCTTGTCATCAATGAAAGATCTTGGTGAAAAATTAAAGTGACGCTGGATGGAAATAGATCTTGTGACATTACAGAAGTTTATTGAAACAACAACACAGTGAATGCATGCTGTAATCAAAGCTAAAGGCGGTCCAACAAAATTAGTGTGAGACTTTTTTTTTTTTTGGTGATGACTTTTTTTTTTTTTTTGACCAGGCAGTATTTAGACAATAGCTAGTCCTTTGGTTCAAAGTACTGCACAAGTTAAATCGTGAATATTTTACATTTAGGATTGAAAGGCTTACTTGTAAATGTCAGTACTTTTACCGTCTTTGAAATTCTCTAAATGTTTTTAAATACTGAGACAAATTTACGGATTCTCTTTTTTTTTGTTTTCTGCATGTTTGTTTTGAACAGGAACGATTTTTGAGGGGGACTGCAGACCAAATTTTTCCTCTGGCAGCAGTTGTGCAATAACCTTCCAGATCTACACGTTAATATCACATTTAATTGATGGTTAAGCAGACAAAAGCATGAATGCAGTGGTTTAAATAAATTTTAGTTTTCAGTATTCATGCAGGTGAAGCAGAAAACACAGAGATACAAGGGATCAACATTTGAACTCTTTGTTCAGAAATGTGGATAATATCATTGATGTGATGAAACAAGTCAAAAGTCTTGAAATTTTCAATGAACAGTGACCTCTTCAAACAGAAAACTTGTATTATTGTGTGAAACTCTAAAGTGTATTAAAAACTTAAACCCAGACTAACAGTCCACGGGTAAATATGTGGCTAAACAAAACCACCTGTCCAGTTTACCTGCACCTAAGGGATTAAAAAAAAACAACATTTATTTCCAGTCGGACCTTTCCAACACTTTAAATTATACTTCTACATTTGTCAGGCTGAGTCCTGCAGAAGCAGAAGAAAGACTGTAGGTGGCACCAAATGTTCCTTAAATGGTTCCACTCCACTCCTGCGGGAGTACTGACTGAGACAGTAAAAATAAAACCTAAAGATAGAATATGTCTACTGTAAAATATATTATGTATTTTCACACAAACGGAACATGCAAACTTCAAGTTCTGACAAAGTTACAAATACAGTAATATGATATGAAGTATCATAACAGCATCTATGGAAGAAGTGGGGATGGATGGATATCAGCATCTGGAGAACATGGACAACGCTCAGGATTGGACCTTGAAGAATTATGGAAAGATCACAATCATTGTCAATCATAAATTAAATTAGGATGATCATCCATTATCTTTTACCTGCTTCTTCCATTTTGGGTCACGGGGGTCGACGGTGCCCATGTCCAGCAATCACTGTGTGAGGGGCGGGGGACACCCTGGACAGGTCTCCAGTCCATCACAGGGACACATGGAGACAAACGAGACAAACATCCATTCACTCGCTCTCTCACACCTAGAGACAATTTTGTTACCAATCAGCCTAACATGCATGTTTTTGTTCTGTGGGAGGAAACCGGAGCACCCGGAGAAAACCCACGCATGCACGGAGAGAACATGCAAACTCCACCCAGAAAGGCTCCCGGACCGGGATTTGAACCAGGGACCTGTGTGCTGAGAGGCAGCAGCTCTACCAGTTGTGCCACAGGATGATCATTGTAATCTTTATTATATGTACTGTATATGATAAAAATAAAAAAACAAAAAACAAGCAGAAAGAGGTGGAATGGAAAGTTTCATCAAAAAGATGAAAGAAACTAAAGCTCAGAGTTTTTAGGCTGCTGCAAGCAGCAGCAGTGTAGTCTCAGATGTGCCTGCTGAAGAAAAGGTGGAAATTGAACCTGATGAAAACGCATGACGTCTCAGGTGACCAGGAGGTTCTGGTGTGTCCAAACAAAGACAGGCTGCAGTTACTTCATTTGCCACTGAAACTCTGAGGCACTCAATCAGCTGTTAACAAAATTTCTATAATGATTTAAAAAAATACATCGCTTAGTGTTGTCAAAATTAATTAAATGACTGCTTCCTCTGTGTTCTGACCCTATGATTACCAGACATAGATTAAGACAAAAATAATTGATTTCTTGATACAAATGTCTGAAATGAGCTTCTTCTGCAGGGTGGCTGGGCTCAGCTTTAATAATCAGGTGAGGAGTTCTGTGGAGCTGCTGCTCCTCCACTTTGTAAAGATCCAGCTGAGGTGCTTCGCTCATCTCATTGGATTCCTCCTGGACATCTGGGAGTTTTCCAGACACATCCCACTGAAGGAGACTCCAGAGAAGACCAAAAACTCACCGAAGGGATTTTATATCCACTCTAACCTGGTGTAGCATGAAGCTGCACTGCTCTAACTATGACCCCTGACCCTTATTCATCTTCCAGACTCACCATGAATCGTGTTATTTAAAGTTACACTAGACTTCATTAATGTCTGATGTTTTTCACACATTCACTGTCCTTGGACACAGAGTCAGCTACAGTCTGACTAATATTTATCTTATTTTTCTTATGCTTTTAAGAAAGAAAAAACAATCATTAATGTAGTTTGTCTTATTTAAGTAACAAGTGTGAACATGAATGGTTTTGATTATTGTTTTCAATCATTATGATTAAATAATGTGAAATGTTATAATGTGAACAACATATTTCTCCTGTTTTTCAGAAGATAACTCGTTCCTTCAGAGACACCTGTTCTAAAAGCTCTTTGAGCTGGAGCAGTTTTCTTCCGAGGGAAGTCACAATGTTCCTGAGAGTAGTTAAAATAATCTTCTTAGAGCTGTTGGTGTGCACAAAGATCCTGTGTGAAAAAGCAGTTTGTTTTCGTCTCAGAACCAAAAAGTGGTTCGTGCTTGGACCAGATCCTGGTGGCCGTCCCGAGGTCCACTCGATCAATTCCTGAGCAGATAAACGTGTTGGGAGTCCCAGGAGGACCTGAAGAAACATGTCTGGGATTTCTCTCCTGGACCTGATACCTCTGTAAACCAGAGCACAATGAAGGAAGAAAAGAATGAGTGAGGGATGGAGGGAGGGACAACAGTGTTGACCAACATCCAGGTCATTAGAATTCTCTTTGTGTTTACATTTTGTCTGCTCTTGAATATTCAGAGATGTAAATCATCAGCACATCTTCTCAATAATTCTAATATTTTTCCTATAACCAGATCTCATCCAACAACTTAAATGATTCTGCATGCACAAAATGTTAAAGACTATCCATCTATCCATCATCTTTACCAGCTTCTTCCTTTTTGGGTTGCGGGGGTCATTGGTGCCATGTCCAGCAGTCACTGTGCGAGAGGCTGGGGACACCCTGGACAGGTCTCCAGTCCATCACAGGAACACAGAGACAAACAACTATTCACTCTCTCACTCTAGAGTTACCAGTCAGCCTAACATGCATGTTTTTGGTCTGTGGGAGGAGAACATGCAAACTCCACACAGAAAGTTCCCTGACCGGGATTCAATACGACAACCTTCTCGCCGAGAGGCAGCAGCTCTACCAATTGATTCACCATGCCGCCATCAAATAGGATGGTGGAGGAAAATACAAAATAAGACAACAGTTGTAATCTCAATCTGACAACAGTTCCACATACCTGAGGCTTGTCACAACTGCACAGTTTATTACTTCCACTGTTTCAGTTTCTTTGGCTGTTGTTGAACCAAGACCAGGCTCTGCAATATGTTACTACTAAAATAATTTTCTTTCAGTTCCATAGATAAATATTTTGAGTCGCTATCTCCTTTTTGCTGCACACAGTACTATAGATATGATACCTATGGACTTTTTTGGTATAGATTTGATGGTTTCGCCAGGATAAAACATTAAAAAAATCACACTGCTTTCAATGAAAGCTCCAACAATTTTACCTAAAAGAAGAGTAAAAAATCAGAGTTCCCCTCTGTGTAGGAGAATAAATATAGGAAAGAGTCGCATCATAAATAATCTTAAGATTTATTTGATACATACAATATACAGTATATTCTTATTCAATAGTGATGCCTTTTATGTTCCTTTGTACTGAAACTCTGGCACAACAATTTCCTGCGAGCTCATTAAAGTTCTATGTTATGTTATCTTCAATTAAATATATATACAGTA